GTCTAGCTTTTTGCACATCCTCTAGCACTGAGAGTGGGCAGAGGAAGTGGTAAGAGTATAGTCATCTGCAGTGACTCAGTGTTGCCGTCAAAGATTAAAGACGAATAAGCCCAAAATCACCAACACAGTATATGAAGTACTGTTTACTGATTCAAGGTTAGCCTGTGAAGGGGAAAAATCTGAAGTTCATGTGAGTACTGACATACTCAGGAAGCAGACACACTGGAAAAAAGAGGCTGTCGGGAGAGAATACGTGTTCACGGAGATATTGTCAAATTTGATGAAAATCAGAGAGCAGAGAGTTCAGAGGAAATGGGAACAGTAATGGTAAGGTGCAACAAAAGGAGAGGGTCAGAATCAACAGGAAAGACCACGTAATTGTCACTAAATTGAGAATTGGTTACAGTCACTTCAAGAGTTGTCAATTTCAGGAAAAGAGATGAAGGAGAGAGCTTGTGAAGAGAGAAGAGGCGAGAGCGGGTTAGAATGCATTAGAAAGCAACTGGACTAAATAAAGACTGCAATAGAAATGTGCAGTCCTGGATGAGAAGAAGATAGTTGCACAACTTAAATTGCTGTAAAGCTTTTAAGAAAAGAGGTCTTGTTTCTAAGTGCAGGTGTAAATGAAACATTTTTCACATTTTTCCTGAACCATCTCCTTCTTAATAAGCGCTTACTGATTTTAATGCTCATATGCAGCATTACTATATTTTGACATTAAACAGCTTTTAAAGAATTTGGTCCCATGTGCTTCCCTCTCTTTGGTTTCCCCCGTATCTCTTTAACTAAGCAGCTAAAAGACTTGTAAAGCCACATGGTGCATCCCTCATTGTGGTTTCAACTCATGAGCCAAATATAATCTGTTGCATCTACGACTCTCCACATTAATCATACTCAGAAGTCCCTATTAGATTATGTTTTTGTCTGGTACTTCACCATGAATTATTCTACAACACAGCCATAACTGCTTGCGACTTGGCCAGTATGTTAAGCAGCGGTCTCCCCCTCCTCTCTGCGTGCTCCGGACAGACAAAACGGCCCGTCACAATAATTGAATTCTGGTTTGAATGAGTAAGGACTTTTGTCGTCTCACTCAATTAGACACAAAGGCCACTGCTGTGTAGTTTGATGAAATTGGACATATGCTCCTGTGTGATAGTACTGCGATTGTTCCTTAGAGTGAAATTTCCAGCGCAGAGGCATTGTTGTTTATACAAATTGAACACCTAAATCTAATTTTCCATCAAAACAGTTTTACTTGTGACTGCCTCTTCATATTAACATAATGCCATTTTGCTATTTTCTGCTATTGATACGGAATAAGAGAAATTTCAACGTATGCCTTGCATGAAATGTTGCCTATGTGAAAAGTTTTACTTTCACATAGGCAACATTTATGACCAAAGAAAAAATTTTTTTTTACATCATTATATACATAGATTTACAAATTTATTAGAGCATCTGTCATAAAAACAAGGGAACACTAATATTTTAGAAATATTTCAAACATGTTTAAGACTAAACTTGTTACTATTTATTATATGAAACCAACTGAGTTCATATTCTTATAACTAAACTCGAGCCAGCATACTGGATGTCTCTGAGAAGTTGGAAATTACCGTATTTTCTGGACTACAAAGCGCACCTGAATATTAGCCGCACAAGCTAAAATCAGGGGAAA